CTATGGTCATTCGACGCATGCGCAGGTGACGACTCCCACGCTTTAACTTCAATTTGAGACATGTGCATGTGGGTAAACTTTGGAGGTCGAGCACACGTCTCTGGATACTTAGTAAAACACATGAAAGTTGAATATTTGAAACTTGTACATGTACTGAGTCGTGGATCCAAACCGAGAGATGCCTATTGTTTTTTCTTGCGCTCCTTCAAGTACGAGCTGCTGTAATTCATAGGTTTCGGCCGCTTGAAAGATTGTATAGTGTACTAGTATGACCTTTCTCGCAATTGATACCGTGAATTCGATAGAAAATAGAGCATTTTTATTTGGAACATGACAATTCTATTTACATTACGACGTTATGCCAGTCTTCCATCGATCTGAGTAAATATATCCTGATCTTGGTGCAGCTGATGTAGATTAACTATAGAGCGCATGCGTACGACACTTACCACCCAACAACGCCCTCTCTCGTATGAATATCCGCGTGTCAGTTATTACCTTCATCCTGACATCAGCAATGTTGGGGTGTTCGTAAATTTGACAGACGATTCAGTATCATTTTTGGCGGGAAAAATAAAACTACTTACAATATTGATGTGATGCAATCGGTAAAATGTCGTATCACGTGCCAAGTTGTATATCCCCTTGGGATTTTTAATGTTTTACCGTGATAACGTAGATCATAGACATTAAAAATACACTTTTGAGGTCTACGGATAGACTAGCGTTTAAATGCATTATAATCTGCTTACATCAAAAAACAACGTCACATTCTTTCTTTTTTTAATTGAATGTATTTGCAGATGCAATCTGTTTCACAAAGTACATCGCCGAACGAAACAAGTGTCGGAAGATAATTGAAGGTAACTTTATCGATGCGGTGGACTGTTGTCAACGTGGGGGAGGAGGATGGAGTACTAGACAACGGGGTGGTCAGTGCACGCAGTGTAGTGATGTATTAGACGCCCTCAACCCCGAGCCCGCTGACGACCGTAAGTCATATACTAGTAATATATAGTAGACATATATTTCGCAATCAGATTGTTTTTCATGGTTGCCACAACGATACATGAGCTCGCAGATCGAATTAATATAATACATTGCGCATGTTCTATCGATTTGTTTCAAAAACAGAAAACGGGAATGAAGTCGAACATTGGTGAACGTTACTCTCATAAGATTATTTTCGCTTTCGCCTCGGCATTGGATTATCAGTCTTGATAGTGGTATGAATTATACATAACATTTTTAGATAAAAACAAAACGTTATTTTTTTTTCTACAGCTTGGAACAATTGGGGTGTCTGGGGTGAGTGTAGTCAAGATTGTGGAGACGGATTTCAGCACCGACAACGAACCTGCAAGAAAGGAAGGCTATGCGACGGCATAGGGGAACAAGTGCGACCATGTCTTGTGGCTCCGTGTCCGAGTAAGTATATACTTGCTATTATTCACAGAACAGACAGGAATTGCAGAATATACCATTATGTTCTAATATATCTTTGTACACATGACCAGTTTGCCTTGGAATATTCCAACATCCTTTTGAAGATTCTTGGCAGTATTTGTTTTCACAAGTGTACAATTTAATTTCAAATTAAAAAAAAAAAAAAAAAAAACATTACAACATAGTTTAATATACCTCCATACAACGTTTCAATACATATTTATATATTACACAATGCTCTATATACCTATTTATATATGTCGAAAATGTGACCGATTTGAATCACGTTTTGTTGCCAATTTAGTTAACGGAGGATGGGGCAACTGGGACGACTGGACCCCATGTTCTGTAACATGCAGTGACGGCACACAGCGCAAGAGCACGGCTATGCAACAACCCAGTACCACAGCATGGGGGTCTACCATGTGATGGCCAGGATGTCGAAATCCTTCAATGTAACGAAAGGCCTTGTCCGAGTAAGAAAACTGATTGAAGTATACCTATAGACAACGTGTATTTGTAAAGTATACAACTTGAATTATGTTTCTGCTATATTATTGAGCACATGCGTTACCATAATACAGCCAACTTATCCCGGGCAACTTGTCGAATGACAATGATTTCCATTTGCGGTTATATTGTAAATGCATTAATCATTCACTGGGTTTTAATTTCGCCACAGTCCACGGATAGAGGGACTGTGATTTCGCTATTTTCGCTGATAAGTAATTTCCGCTAAATTAAATCTACGTAAATGTGTAAAATAAAAATGAAACTCATTGTTCCATTGACAAATGCGTGAAATCAAAACACAGTGAATATGAATATAAAACATCAAAATAGTGAAATTAAATGTCAGTGAAAATAAATGGATTTACAGTATGCGTTAGAGTTAAATACACAGTTTTGTGATGCCCGCCTTAGCTACAAACTCTTTTTGCGCGTTATATATCAGATTAGTTTACTAGTACCACAGTCACTCTCCTAGTAGAGTAACTGTGCTCGTACTCAGAATAACGGCGAACACCAGTTAACTTGTTTCTTACAATCACTGTCTCATACCTGTGTTTCCATTGACAGTTGACGGACAGTGGGGGATGTGGTCAGAATATACACCATGTTCAGAAACATGTGGCGACTTCGGCACTAAGAGACGAATACGTAAATGCGACAGTCCTAGACCCCTACATGGTGGCAACGTGTGTCCAGGGGCTAACCAACAGATACAGATATGCGATTTGCAGCCGTGTCCAGGTAAAACGATTCGTTGGCGTTTTTTTTTTGGGGGGGGGGCTGTGCTTTAGAGTTGCATTTGCTCTTTTTTTATTCATTTCAATTGTTACTCTTTTCATCTCTTCCGAAACATATTGTCTGACTGGCCTCAAAGTATGTAATAGAAAACCAACAACAGTGATAAGTCAATGGCTTAGAATCGCCTAATACCGCGATCTATCTTAATATATTCAAGATCAATTCCTAAGTTTATTTTTCAAATTGTAGACTTTATAGAAATGCCTGATGCCACGTTGTATTGCAAGCTAGAAATCCGCGACCCATTTCAATTGTTTGAATTGACTTATTGTCTTGCGTGATCCTTGCTACATAAATGTGTTCTGTAATTATTTGTATAGTAGAAGAGTGGAATAAACTTCGGGAACATGCTGTTTCTACCCTTAATTGGCGAGTACCCCTCACCCGCTAGATCGCACATTAGGCCAAAAAAACAACTTATGTTGCCCTCAATTCGAAAAAATTGAAAATTGGGTCGCGCCGCTTATGGGGACTTTAGGTATCAAACAACGGAACGGGATCCTCAATTTTTAGAGAAAACACTTTTTTACTGCTTAAAATGGTGGGTTTTTAATAATATTTGGGCCTATTGGACCGTGGCTTAAATTTTTTTCTTATGCTCTTTCAATTTGATAGTACACGGTCAATGGTCTTCATGGTCCCCCTGGACGAGATGTTCAGCCACCTGCGACAGAGGCAAGCGAAACCGCCGACGCACATGTACAGACCCAGCCCCAGCCCACGGTGGCGACGACTGTATTGGGGAAGGCAAAGAGGTTAAGACATGCCGTGCATCACAAAGATGTCCAAGTAAGTTAGTCTATATACGTTACGATACATGTACAAAAGATACATGTTTAAAAATGTACACCCCTTAAACTTAAATGAAAAAAAAAATGAAAAAAAAAAACACGAAATGAAAAAAGTGTAAGTATATACACCAGATTTTAATTAGATTGCCCCAAACCATTCTCGAATATATTATATTATATTTAACATTCTATTAATAACGTTACCGGTAATAGCGGTCTTCGGTTGCTGTATTATGAATCTATGCAACTACTTACTTTTTCTCAACACTTCACAAATTTCATGTACGCCGTTGTTACGGTTGCCTATGTTACCTCCTGTGCATTTGGAGTCTCGAGTAATTGGTTACCATAACAACGTGGGTACGCTATTCTATTTATAACTGTCAAACTGTATCTTATCAATGATGTTACAGTTGCTGAAATTTACACGCTTCCTGGTATTGTCTTTTACATGTCATAGTTATTATTCATACCTCGTAGCGGAATAGTCAAATCACAGTTTTATAGTATAGTATTTTAGTGTATATTTTCTTTCTGTTGCGCGCAAAAAAATATATGAAAACACAATTAAATATATTTGCTTTACAAAATTGGGGAAAAAAACAGCCACACACAGAAAGCACTACTTGCTCTACCAATTGAGGGCGTGGCTCAGCTTTCTAATAAGTGATACGTTAAGGTTGACAAATCTCGCACTGTCCAGAAGCAATGTCAAGTTCTAAATCAATTTCATTTGTCAGTTCATGGTGGTTGGTCTGAGTGGAGTGAGTGGGGAAGATGTTCGGCAACACCTTGCACAGGAGAAGAAGGTTATCATCAACGTAGTCACCAGTGCAATAACCCGGCTCCGAGATATAAAGGACGATACTGTTCGGGTAATATTATCGATACAGAGAAGTGCATCAATAACGATGGTTGTCCAGGTACGTACTAGACGAACGATCGTCGTCTGGTGGCGCTATTTCAACCCAAGCCACGAAGTAGTACCGGAGTTCCATTCCCATTTATAAATTCATAATACTGTGAAATTATTAATCTCTTCAGGTATTTAATTTAACGGTTTTAACGTCTGATCATATTTCTAGTGAAACACACTATAGATAATGTGAATGTTCAATTTAACAGATTGTCGATGGTGTTTTAGCCGCGAGGTTTCAGCCTGACACGCATAGTCGGCATGTTACAGCGCCCAATCGACATCCTCAGTTACAAAGAAATTGTACGCGAAAGCTGGTTGAATTAAAATTCCCTTTTCTGCAGTAAATCCAATTTTAAACTGAGAGGCCTTCCTGGGCGACTAGAGAACGAGGAAAGCAATCAGCTAGTATTTCCCTAAGTCGTATTTATTAGTATGAACACATCATATACTAACGGCTGGACCATTATAGACCCTGGGACAGAAAAACTTTGCAATATACTAATATTTGTTCCATTCACTTATAGACTTGTTTGCAGTCCGATGAATAATTCTTGAAAAATAAAATATAAATTTCGTAAACGAGAGGTGAACGCGGATGTCCTCCTGTGACCTGAATTTATATTTATTTTTCAAGAATCTTTCATCGGAATCACAACAGACTGCAAGCAAGTCTAATTCACTTAGTTCTGTGCTATTTTTTGTTTCCATTATGAATTTACTGTATTTTTTTCACACTATGTCGAATAGTTTTTTCTGTGTGACTTAGACGTGCAGAATACTAGTAGTTGTCCAATTCTGCCATCGTCATAAGTTCCTAATATTCACGGACTTCTGTGTTTTATATTTCCTCGTAGTTGACGGCGGCTGGGGCCCATGGGGAGAATGGGGACCATGTTCCCATACATGTGGTGTAATCAGTTTCCAACAAAAAAATCGTCGATGTAACAACCCGGCTCCACAAAACGGTGGCGCATTCTGTCAAGGTGAGGAATTCAAACCCAGAAATTGCAGAGGACTTCCACAATGCCCAGAAGGTAAGTTCATTTCAACGTTGATGCCAATGTGCTATGTACAAATATATCACCGACTATGGGAACAATATAGACTCGATTAGTTCATATACACACATACATATTATTTATTCTCACTGTAAAATAATCGTTTTGCACAGTCACATTTCTGAGTGTTTAGTATGCATTCAAAGAATGGTGAAATACTGACTTAAACACCACAAACTTGAACGCAAACGATTATTAAAACTATGAACCATCCACACAGCCCAAACTAACTCTCAAACGAGTTGTGGAATTATTTGATCAAATTAAAGCAACCATTTAGTTATAAAGTTAAGTTATACGTTATTAATTATTTGTATAGGACTAGGATGCTCATTTCAAGTGCTATAGTTCAGATATACCGTATAGTAGGTAATATTCGGTAACTATTCAAAATATCTAGACATTCGAGCAATGACTCATACTCGATAATCGATAATCAGCGCGCGGTTCTAATGTTTTTAGTATAGCAGCCATTATCTTAATTTTGTGAAATTATGCCACATCGTAAATATTCTTAAATATCATATGTAACAACACATGATTTGAGTAAGCGTTATAAATATTGACGATATCACAATGGCTTGTCTTATGTTCGGTTATATCGGTTATTCACCGGGTCTTGGCCGTCTTGCTACCTATTATTATGGACGTATATCATAGAGGAATTTGTCGTATGGTACATACATAATACCATCTTTTGCTCGGTGGTGATAATAGTATTGCATAATTATTATATTGCTAAAACATTGAGGTTGCATCTGCTATGGGTAGCACATTGACGGTATTTGTGTTTGCGCACTCTAGGAGGAGGTGGTGATCCTGTTGTCCCTGGTGGTGGCGGTGATGGTGACAGGGTTGATGAAGAAAGCGGATCAGGTGAACTTCCGGTAGGTGTAACTTGAATAATTAATCAGTTAGTTTTGTTGATATAATTCGCTAATCGTTATCAGATGCGCACCCCCAAACCCGGAAGCAATGAAGCGGCTGAATTTTGAACGCGTACTCTTAATTTTTCAGAAATCGTGGCTACACCACTAGGAAGTGTGGATTTACAGCTATTAAACCCAGAGTTTAGGTCCGAGTCAAGAAAATTGCACGATGGCAATTTGCAAGCCTCTGACCTAAACTGATGGCTTCCTGTAAACACTCACTATCGAGTAGGTGTCTCCGAGAAAAACGATAAAATATAAAGATTTAGCAATCAGGGCAAAAATGCTGACATAATTCACTAAATGTCTTTAAAAGTATTAGCATCCCCAAATATATACGTCTATAAGTTTTGGATGATGTGTTTTAAATCAGATAAAGACCTCATACTGTGGCACTTCTGGATATAGAGTCCCCCGCCCCCAATATAAAATGTCAGTTGCTTCGAAATTTGTTCTCGGGTCCTATACATTAGCATCTAGTCGGATTGTTATTTTTCAAATTTCAGGGTCTTGCCAGTGGATTTGGTGATGACGAAGACTACAATGGTAGCGGCGGCGACGACGACGACTATGCTTACTATTATAACTGAAAGACGATAGCACTTGTTTTTACGATTGGGCGAGGTCGTCTTGCAAGTAGGAAAGAAAGAGGAAGGGGTGGGACATGTTTAGTTGTGTATTACACTAAAAGAACATTGTGTATAGTTGACTGATTATTTACAAAGCCATTTGATAAATGTGTCAAGTTTTTTTTTTTGCAATATTTTTGATAATGCTCAGTCACATGTTAATTGACTACATTGTCATTGTGGGAGTATACGTTTCCCGGTTTTATATCGTCAGTAGTCACTATTTTAGCAGTCACGTGTTGTTTAGGAATGACTGACGTCATAAAGAATGGTGGTCACCGAGCGTTGTGTCGTCACCGGAAGCGCTGTCCCAGCACAAACCGAACTCCGCACAGTTCGATACGCGTTACTTATCTATTGCGTAAAGCGCAAAGGCCTCTGGGAAGGAGATTGCTGTGTCATATGACGCCTTACTAGCCGATTTTGGCTAAAATAGCGCTCCGCCGCCTCTTTACACAAGTGTTTATACACGGAACTTGATAATTTTTTTTTCCAATTTAAGTTGCCTTTCTTCACATATTTTTGTGAAATATTGTTTAGTGAGTGAAATATTAATGTCACAAATAATTCAATCTTTGAAACAACAGAAACGAATAAATAATAACGATAATCAAATTTGTGTTTGAAGTTCGAAAGTACCCGCGTAATTTCCGCGTAATACTTTCTTCTATGCTATCGATAAAGAGCCATTGCTCGAAACGTCTAGCTATTTTTAATAGTTATTTAGGACTACGATTACCAAATATTATCTTCTATATATCGCGTAATTTCCGGTTTCAAATAGTTCGGAAATAGAACGTCCTTGAGCGCAATAACATCACGCGTAGAACGCTTTCCGAGCCAGACACTAGCAGCATAAACTTATTGCAAATTTGCGCAATTTTGGGGCCAGTTTGTTCTTAAAAGTTTTCTAAGTTTTATTTATCATTATTTAGTAAACAGGCCCCTTAAACGAGTTAATATATCCGTAAAATACGTGCCAGTCAACGATTGACTTGGAAACGTTCGAAATGTCGAGCCAACTCCCGGCACACATTGCGCGATATGCGTCAGATCGGTGTAGAAGACGCCGACCTGCAGCGTCAATGGGTCACCGAGCCGCACCGTGTTCGATGTGGATTCCAAGAAACATATACAACACACGCAAAATGCATTGTTTCCGAAATTTGAACATGCGCCACCATTTACTGCTGAAACCACTGAACTGTTTTTTCAGCCGCTGAGTCGCCCCTACTGCGCAACTGTCAGGCCGGATGAATCGGTTGGCTGTCACGCAACTAATCACTGGCTGTCATCCAACTTTTCAAACGAAAAGTCGACGCGCCAAAAAAATAAGTGTAAACCACGCCCTCCAACGTCACGTAGTTACGCCCACTGACCCAACATGACCTCCGAATTAAACCAATAAAATACTATAAGCGCGTATTTCTATAATCAGTCGTCCGAGACTTTTTTCTCGATGTCATCATGGCGAGTTACGGCATCAGTCCTTCAAGAGAAAGTCAACTGGAATTGTGGTTATGTGGCATTGGTGTTGAACTCCTAAAGTATGTATCGACACTGAGGACGGCCGGATATACAAGTGTTCGGGCGCTGGCTCGGATAACTGAGGATGATATTTATGATTTCTTACCAGAAATACCACCGGGACACAGACGTCTAATTTTGCACGAAGCGGCAAA